CTCTTCCATTGGGCAGAAAATATAGACGTTTGAATACACGTAAGAACAGATTCAAGAACAGCTTCTTCCCCTCTGTTATCAGATTTCCAAATGGACCTCTCAAATGACAATGTTGGTCTCTCTCTGCACCTTCTCTGTGGCTGTAACACTGTATTCTGCACTCTATTCTGCTACTGTGAGGCACTGTAGACGGTAGATCTGCCTGTATAGCATGCAAAACAACACTTTTCATTGTATCGTGATACATGTGACAACAATAAATCAAATTCAAAACGATAATTTCTCACAACTTTACTGATCTCATCACGTATTAACTCAGCTGTCCTGCTCTATTTGTTTCTTTCTGCTGGTCCAAAATTTCAAATATCCTTGAACATTCAGAAACCAACCTTGATCATCTTGTAACTATATCACTATAATGATTGTCATATATTCATTCATTTCTATTTGTGCTATCAGTTAATCCATCTTCTTAAGATTACTGTGTACATTCAGATAAAGAACCTTTAATTCTGTCTCTCTTTCACCATTTTGCCTGATCTGATATTATTTATTGGTGCACTCGAAAGGTTACATGCTTTGTCAATTTCTTTCACACTCTTATCATTCCCCATTTTGCCACTGTGTTCAATTGCTTTGTCCTTTCTCAAACTTCCAAATCTTTCCTCATATGAACCCTCCCATACCAGACTTTGTTTGGTTTAAAGCACTCTATTCAGTTGTAATGATATCTGGTCCAAGGATAATTCAAGTGAAGACCATCCCAATGCTACAGAGAATCATAGAGGTGTACAGCAGGGAAACAGACCCTTCAGTCCGACTTGTCCATGCCGACCAGGTATCCTAAAGTGATCTAGTCCCATTTGCCAGCATTTGGGCCATATCCCTCTAAAGCCTTCCTATTCATATACCCATCCAGACGCCTTTTAAATGTTGTAATTGTACCAGCCTCCAACACTTCCTCTGGCAGCTCATTCCATACTCGCACCACCCTCTGCGTGAAACAGTTGCTGCTTAGGTCCTTTTCAAATCTTTCCCCTCACACCTTAAACCTGTGCCCTTTCATTTTGGACTCCCCCACTCCAGGGAAAATACCTTGTCTATTTACCCTATTGATGCCCCTCATGATTTTATAAACCTCTATAAGGTCACCCCTCACCCTCCGCGATCCAGGGAAAATAGCCCCAGCCTATTCAGCCTCTCCCCATTTACAGCTCCCTCTTTCTCTTGTACTGCTAGTGCCCCATGAATAGAAACCTATTTCTCCCATATCAAATCTGAGTGACACATGAAATTCTCTGGCCTTACTCATTGTATGCCAATTTGCTCATGACTCAACTACTAATCCAGAGAATATTCCATTTGTGGTCCTGCTTTATAATTTGTCCCGTACTAGCTCATACTCCACCAGCAGATCATATTTCCTCAACAAGTTACTTACACCCATGTGGACCACAACAACTGGATCCTTCTCATCTCATTGCAAATTCTTGCACAACGTCAGACCATAACCTCTACCCCATTTTGTTTTGTGTGTGTTTGTTTTTTGCTAGTTCGTCTCTCGTCATAGTCATAGTCATATGCATCTTTCAGCCCATGCAGACCAACAAACGCCAAACTACACCAATCCCATTAAGCTTGGACCATAGCATTCTATGCCCTTGCATTTTGCGCATTTTAAGATGCGTTTTTTTTTGAAAGAGGAAAGGTTCTCATGATCTACTTTGTGTTTGCCTCTCATAATTTTGTACACCTCAATCAGATCCCCCCTCAGCTTTTCCTGCTCCAGGGAAAACAAACCCAGTCTATCCAGCCTCTCTCGTAACTGAGAGTGTTCATCCCAGGTGACATCCTGCTGAATTTCCTCTACACCCTGTCCTGCGCAATCACCTCCTTGCAATAGTGTCGTGACCAGAACTCCATTCAATATTCCATCTGCAGCCTAACCAATGCTTTACATAAAATTGTAACAAGACTTCCTTGCTCCTTGCTCCATTCTGAAGAAGGGTCACTGGACCAGAAATGTTAACTGTTTTCTCTCCGCAGATCTTGTTAAGCCTGCTGGGTTTTTCCAGCAATTTCTGTTTTTGTTTCTGATTTCTGGCATCTGCAGTTCTTCCCATTTTTCCTTACTCCTGTATTTTACGCTCTGGCTAATGAAGGCAAGCACGCCACAAACCATCTTCGCTACCCTGTCTGTAAATCTCTGGACTTGTACACCATTGTCCATTTGTTCCCTCAATACTCCCTAGGCTGGAGCGAGCACGGGCCAAGACCCGCAGCGGGCCGGAGCGAGCACGGGCCAAGACCTGTGGAGGACCAGAGTGAGCGATGTGGCCTTGCGCTTGGGAGCCTGCAGGCACGCTCCCGTGAGGCCCAGAACACCGTGTGCAGTGACTCCGGAGTAGCATGAGGGCTGCGAGCCCGGAGCAGCGTGCAGGCAGCGAGTTCTAGTCAGAAACCAGTGGGAGGGGACAATCCTTACCCGAGAACACTGTAATGTTAACCCCTTAACATACCCTCTAATATATTCCTATTTTTAAACTTATTTTCAATAAGTAGTTAAGCAACTACTTTTATCCCTTTGCTGCATCCAAGAATTGTACCTCGGTACAAGTTGGTACCTAAGTACTTGTATCTCAGATGTCGCCATAAGAATGCAGACACTGTAAAGGTTTTTCACTGTACTCCTACAATGGAGCACACATGACAATAAAACGATATTGTGAATTGTATTGTATCATCCCTTTACTTTGTTTTAATATGGCTGCTAACAAACAATTTACAGCTCCTTTAGACACACATTTCTGTTCTTCACTTCACCCATCACTGCTCCCTTTGACTTTACACTCTGAATTCTTTGCTCACTTTCATTTCTGCCCTCCATCCTCACACAGAATTGTCTCTGTCCTTTGTTCTTCTTGACTCCCAACCCCTTTTTACTTGTTCAAAACCTTATGCCTGTCAAATTTCCTCAGGAGAGGTCACAGACCTGAAACATTACCTTGATTTACTTCTCAACACAGATATGCCTGACCTGCTGATTATTTCCAGAGTTTCTGATTTTGTCTCAAGGCTGCTTTTTATTTGCCTGCTAACATTTGTTTTGCACACGTCCGAAGATGCACGCAGACATCAAGACATTAGTAGCTTCACCAGGGATAGTAGGAACTGCAGATGCTGGAGAATCCGAGACAACAAGGTGCAGAGCTGGATGAACACAGCAGGCCAAGCAGCAGAGGAGCAGAAAGGCTGACTTTTCGGGCCTAGACCCTTCATCAGATGCGGAAATCAGATGCGCCGGCATCTCCAGGCACTACAATCAAGCCTATCCCAGCTCAGAGCCTCCCTCTCCCAGACCTGCAAAGGACCTCTCCTGTTTTTTATTCTTCGTAGGATCCACAACCTGAACTCACAATTCTACTCAGCTGTATTGGACACTAAAAACCGTAAGTACAGTAAACTCACTGGTGCCTACCACCCAAAACGGGCTTCCTCCACCCCCCAAATCCCTA